TTCAGATGGTCTTGTGAATCTGTCCTTTTAAAATCAATATCGTCAATAAAACGAAACCATGATAATTGCTGGTATGGAGCAGTGGCCAATAGGCGTTTTTCAAGTTGGCCCATAAATATGTTAGCATATGACGGGGCCATTTTTGTGCCCATACTAGTGCCGTCTATCTGAAGATAGTGTTTGTCATTGAAAGAGAAGTTGTTGTTCTGCAGCGCAAGACTTTTAATATATTTACAGAGCTAGACTTTACATTTGCAGCGCTGGAGTTTACATCTACAGGGCTGGTATTTACATCTTCAACGCTTGACTTTACTTCAACGCTGGCCTGTGCATCAACAGCGCTGGACTTCACATCTACAGCACTGGACTTAGCATCTACAGTGCTGGACTTTATATCTACAGCGCTAGACTTTACATCTTCAGCCCTTGGCTTTAAAAACCACAACTTTACTCTTTATCTGTATAAGACCATCAAGGCTATGTGGTAGTTAGATTCATGATTTATTCGGAGTTATTTTTATTGAAATTAAAAGCTTATAAATCTATTCATTCAATAGTTATTTGGAAAACAGTACTATATTTTACATTTGCAGTCCTGGATATAAAAATAAGAAGATGTGGTATAATTAATTGAGACAACTCTACACCAGAGACCAAATGACATAGAAGTTAACAATTAGTGTTCACCGTACGGCCGTCAACAATGAGCTATAAAAGGCCCCGTATGACATATGTAAAATAATTCAAACGAGAAAACTTACGGCCGGATTTATGTAAAAAACAATGAAGGAAATACAAATATGATATACAACAACAAACGACAACCACTGAATTACAGGCTTCTGACTTGGGACAGGCACATACATAATTTGACGGGGTTAAACATGTTAGCGGGCGTCCACTAACCTGGGACAGAGATGTAACAGTACAACTTATGAACAAACTATAAAAATCAGTTGAAAAAGGTTTAACTCGTCAGATCGATACAATGCAGAAAAAACAAGTAACAAAAACACAGACCGGACGTGGCAGGGTATTTATCCGTCCCTTCAACAAAAAAGACACTAAGTAAAGAGCTGAGAGTACTTGCAGTTACTGACAGCTAGTTCGAAGCCAATAACAACTAATAAAAAAGTCATGTATCTAAGACTAAAGTATCAATCAGTACACAACCAACATCCAATGGATTTAGTGTAAAGACTTCATTAACAGGTAGAGAAAAACATGACCTCGTGCAATGCCAAAACACATCTTCAGCGCTGGACTCTAAATCTACAGTGCTTGACTTTACATCTCCAAAGCTGGACTTTATATTTTCAGCGCGGGACTTACATCTATAGCACTAGACTTTAGATCTAAGCGCTGGACTTCAGATCTCCAGAGCTTGACTTTAAATCTACAGACGGCGGTAGACTTTTCATCTCCAGCGCTTGGCTCTAAAAACCACAACTCTACTCTTTTATCTGTATGAGACCAACAGGGCTCCGAAGTTGTTTGCTACATGATTTATTCGGGAGTTATTTAACTTATTGTCATTCACAAAAATATATTTATTAAATAGTTATTTAGAAAACAGTACACAGTACCCATGTAAATATTAACAACATTTGTACATTTGAAACTATGCATGAAGGAGTGACGTAAGGATCAATATTGTGCCCTGTACTTATATACTGTAAATTCAGAAATTATTGCGTGCATTTATTATTGCGATTTTGTCATTTTAGACTAAAATGCGATTTTAATTTTTGCGATATACAGAAAAATCCTGTTTGGATTCATACAACAAATTTCAAAATGCGAGTTTTAATTATTGCGATTATAACCCTGTCGCATTTTTCGCAATAATAAAAACATCGCAATAATTTCTGAATTTACAGTACATAATTTTTAAAACATGACGGTATTATTTATCATGTTGTAGATGCTATTTTTCATTGGGAATTTGTACATTTTTTCCTTTGATCTTACTGCCTAATATTTTTAAGATTCTGGACAGGATTTGATACTCGAAAATATTAGGCAATGACATCATGTATCAGTGCAGCAACGTCCCGTCCTCAAGTTCACCCGCGTCAATTTATCAATGAAATGCACGCGACTTCAATAATACAACCGAACAACTATCCCAACGTTTTGTACGCGTACAAGTAGTTTTACCTACTATTTCATTTTACTTCATATTCTCAACAACAAAAAACATACAGTTATAAGACAAATTGCCGATAAAAGAATAATGGCATTTTACTTTTTGATACTAACTTCATCAGCTCGAACATCAGCTCGCCCTAGCGGGCTCGCTTGATATTCATGATATTCTTGATGATAAAAGTCAGTATCAAAAACAAAAATGCCATTATTCTATATGTATTATCATGACAGTCCCGAAAATGTAATTAAAAATCTGGAAAATGATGGATTAGTGTGCAATAATTTAATGCAGGCCACTGCAGACAAATTTCAGCGACTTTGGCCATTGGAATTAAAACTTATAATCATAGTTTTGTATTTAATTTGAATTAGAAAAATACAGGAGAGCGAATGTATATAGAGATGTAAAACTATGTAAAGAGCCACAATAGTTTATAAATTAAATTTTGCAAGATAAACAGGTATTAGAAATTTGTGAAAAAAGGGTATCAAGAAGAAGATGCGTTCTGTATCTTTTTAATTCATATTATTAATAATTTAAAAACGCCATGACGGTTTACACACACTAATGCAGATTGTTTTGTCACGAGATAGATTTCAAAAAAAGAAAACCCATTTATGACGATTCATGATCGATTTTTGTTTGAAACATTGCATTTCATATAAAATTCATAAACAAAATATCATGCATTGGGTATGGATAAAAATACGATCTTAAGCAGACGACATAAAAAAATAGAAAGCAAAAGACAAGAAGGTTTACATGAAACGATGAGCTTAAATTAAAAGAGTATTCCTACATTTTATTGTTGTATGAATTTAACAAACTGAAGTTCTCTGCACTCATTTACAAACATTGCAGATTTCATTTTGATTGAAACAGCAAGTGGACATTTTGATCTATGAGTTTGACTGTCCCTCTGGTATCTTTCGCCCCTCTTTTATATATGCATTTAATATATAAAATGGATTTAAAAAGTAAGTATACTGTTGGCATAGAGATATGTCTCTTCTTTTTTGTAATTTTTATAGTTAAATGCAAATGTTGAATTTGAGTATTATTAATTGAGATTAAGAAGTTCGCTACTCTTGTTTTGACATTTTGTCAGATATTCGGAATCCTCTAGTTTTATCCATGAAGTGCCAATAAAAAAATTGCCCGCTAAACCCTACTTTTCCTTTCATATTTTTTTTTACATATTGTTTAAAAAGCCATGTTTGAAAATCTCATAAAATCCTTGTTATTTTTTCATAGTTTTTAAAAGAAATAAAAGTGTCAACGTTAAATGTATGAAAAATCTAGAGAGAATATTTCCCGCCAAATTTTCAATTGATTATATCTCAAAAACAAGGACACGAACATATCATTTTTTCTCTACTTTTTAAATTCCGTTATTTATATACTTTCAATATCTTTTGAAAAGCTTGTTATTTTCATACTGAGCAGCGAACATCCTTAATGCATATTTCATATTTTTGAAGATCCCAATGTCTCTGTCAAATACTTACTGTATCATAAGTTCTGGTAGATCAACTAATACTAATTATGGGTAATAGAAAGATAAACTATTGACAGAGACATTTCTTACTTTTTTGTAATTTTGATAATAAAATGCAAATATTGAAATTAAAATGTCTTAAAAATAGAATAATAACATTTAAGCATGTAATCTATGCAAAACATTCAAAGTCAATGAACAATGACTAAAGATGCAGGGCCGAATAATCTCCATTGAAATGAGACTTGCAAATGCTTATGCAACTGCATACCAACTAATATCGACTTGATATTTGTAGTTTATCTTAAACTGTTATAATCGTAAACTTTGCAAATATTCAAAGTCAATAGATCATGACTGAGGGAAACCCAAATAATCTCTTTGCAAATGGTATGGGCCAATGCTAATACATTTGCATACCAAATAACATTGACCTACAACTAATGGTACCCCTTAAGCTGACATTATCACAAGCTAATATATGTAGAATAAGCAAAAGTTTTAAAGTCAATAGACCATGACTAAGGGAGCGGGGCCAAATAATCTCTGGAAATAAAATATGCCAATGCTTATACATCTGCATGCCAAAGCCATTGACAGACCACTAATGATACCCCATAAACTGAACTTATCATAAACTAATACAGGTAAACTAAGAAAGATTTAAAGTAAATTGACCACGACTGAGGGGGCGGGGACAACAAATCTCCACGGAAATGAGATGTCACTGTGTCAATGCTAGTACAACTATACCATATATCATGGACCTACCATTAGTTGTTCCCCATAAACTGACCTAATCAAAAACTAATACATTGTTGACGCCGCCGCTAGAAACTGCTCGCCTAAACCTGGTTTTTTGTCAAAGCCATCCAATAAAGAAAGACTTTACGGTATTGTTTTCTTTCAAACATGGTTTTAAATAGCTTATATTTTTCTTCGTATTGAATAGCCGATAGAAATTACCTTTCGACTAACAGGCAGCAAGAAATACGATTGGAGTGGGATGTGTCGATAAAAATTGAAAAACAACACTTAGACATCAAATAATTAGATGATTGTGTACTCACATCAGAAACACGACGGGTGCACATGTGGAGCAGGATCTGCTTACCCCTCCTGAAAATCTAAGATCACCATGGTTTTGATGGGGTTCATGTTGTTCAGTTTATATTTTTCTACGTTGTGTGTGTATGCGGTCGTTTTTCTTTTTTGGCCTTTGCTTTGTCAGTTTTTCATCGACTAATGAGTTTGAATATCCCATTGGTATCTTCCGTCTCCCTTTTATAATATACAATTTGAAAATAAAAATAAAGTTATCAGCTTCAAATAACAAATGAACTATATGTATTATACAAAACTTTAAACCACTTTTTAAAGATTTATTATTGACCTTTTTCGTACTTATTAGAAAGCACAATCATAGCCTGTAGCTTTTAGAGTAGTTTTGCCATTTCTTTCAATTACATGGTCTTGCTCACTTCCACCCCATACACGACAAAAACTGTGAACTTTTATGCCATCGTTATATTTCTTTACGTTAAACCCACCATACATCATTGGAACTGAATAATGAAACGGACCTTTTTCATATAAAAAGACTAGCTGTGGGAGTTGAACTCCGTGTTCTTGGATTAGTTTCTCCACTCTTCCCAATATAACAGTATGTAGAGATTTTTCCATTATAGCTATAGATTCTGAATTATTCTTTACATTTTCTGGTAACTCAAGAAGTCTTAATATATCATCATCTAAGGAATTTTTCACTGCTAAATCATATGCCGTTTCTCCATTTGTTGTTTTTAGGCATTTAGATGCACCTTTTTTCAAAAGATCTTCAAAGACATGTTTTGGGGCTTTCCCTGCAGCAGCATGGTGAAGTGGTGTGTACAAGGAAGGTAAAGAATTTGAATCATCTTCAAAGGGGAGTCTGCTGTACAGTACATTTCCACTGTTAACCAAAGTGACGAGCTCGTCCCAGTTCCTGTCTTCACCGAGTTTGTCAAGTTTTTGATGGCATTCTGAAACTCCTTTATGGAAGATATTCGCATATACATTTAGTGGATAGTCATAAGAGACAAACACCTGAATCAAATAAAAAAGGTACATTATTATACACTTCAAATGGAAAAGATAAGATACATAAAAACTAAAGAGGAACGGTTACAAAGACACGAATATAATAATAAAAAAAAAACACTCTAAAGAATGACCAGTTCAAAAACTTCATCACTACTACCAGAACCACTAGTATAATACTTGTGACGTCATGAAACGGATTTATACACGTATAATATATGTTATTTGGGATACTCACATATTCCCTGTTAGTGTATTATATCTCCTGGGCCGTCAGGCGAAGGGGATATAGGACACTGATATGGAATAAGAGCCCATATCCCATGCGAAGCCCGAATAACAATTATATTATACTGGAGTGACCTGATTTCAACATGATATACCATTCTGATCTTCGTTTTTGTTCACAGAGTATATGGGTTCATATACCCTGTTAAAGGGAAATCACACTATTGTTTATACGCATCGCTCTCGGCGCCGCTATAGTGTCGTGACCGTATTATGACGTCGCCGTTTCGAGTCCGTCGTAAAGGTTGCTAATTTCTAAAATGGCGGCCCGCTCAAAGGGACGTTCACTAAAGCAAGAGAAAGCAAATGATGTTTTGATTTAAGTGCAAAAAATGAAAATGCTACTCGAAACAGACAAAATGTATGGCAAAAAAATAGCCGAAAGTGGTCTTGATATGGGTCTTGAATTACCTTACGATTGGGTTTAATTCAAATGAGTTACTCTCTTTAAATAAAGATATTATTATTATTATTATTGAGTTAGTATTTACATACAATACCATTTATACATCTATTTTTCTTAAAGGTTTATTAATTTCACCGAAAAATATTGTTAGATATGAGAAATATCAACATTTTTTTGTTGATCTGGTCTTTATTATTTGTAGCGAAATCCGTCAGATCAACTTTTTTTTGTAGAAAATCTTTTTTTATTTACTGTAAAGTTTATATTTTCATATATTAACAAATTTTTTGATCTCGCAGATTTCGTAGTTTCACGAAGAAAAAAAATATTTAAAAACAAAAGAGATATTTATAACACTTTTTGTCGACCATTTCAGTATAATCAAAGCGTACATCGGCGAATGTAAAATCCGTCCGGTCAACTTTTTTTTTTAGAAAAAACATTTTGTTTTACTATGAAGTTTAAATTTTCATATAAGATAACTATTAATCTCGCAGATTTCTTAGTTGTATGAAAAAATATTGTAAAAACAAAAGAGATATTACTAGTAACACTTTTTGTCGATCAGTTCAATATTGTAAAGCGTACATCAGTGAGTGTGAAATCCGTCCGGTCAACTTTTATTTGTTAGATTTTCATAAAATATAGTCTAATATTTCTAAGGTCTTCAAATATTAAAATAATCTATCAAATCACAAAAAAGTTCTGACTATTTATATCTCATCCGGTCAATACGGGCAATTGTCCTGTCATTAGTGTAACCCAACTGTTGGCAGCGTATCGTCGCGATGCGGTATGTGGGAATATACTGGAAAAAATAACAATATACCAAGAGTAACAGCATGTAAGCGTACAGCTTCCGGAATTTGTAGTTTTCTGTCCAACAGAGGGATGTAAATAAGAACAATGAGTTTCGATGTTCCTTTGGTGTCAAACGCCTCTCTCTCTATATATATATCTCTCTCCCTCTCTCTCTTAGTTTCTTTTTTTTTTGGGAAGTGGGGTATGGGGGGCACAAACACATGAACACGAGTGATTCGTAGAGTAATCATATTTGTTGAAATATCAAACGTTATTTAAGAATAACGCCAGTTAAACATCACTGTAAAAGAAGCATACAAAATTTTACATCGGTTGCTGGCTGTCGAAATCAAAGAAAATTTAGCACCGTATTATATAGTACATTATACGCAATCTTCCTTTAATGCTTTGTACAGGCTTACATAATTTGGGCACAAAAAAAAAATCATATTTTGTAGTATTTCTTCAAACTGTCAATTATAGCGAACTGTACGACCAGCAAGTTAAAAATTAAGGCCGCTAGACGTCAGAGCAATCTGGAAATATCAAACACTATGCCTAGTTATTTTTGTACTATTGATGACCGTACTGCCTACAACAACAACAAAAAATCCACACTGTATATTTGGCTTTACAAGACTTCAACAAGAGAAATATTTAACACACACATGTATTTATGTAAAGTAACATGTCTTTCAGAGTGCTAATCTGTAACCATCACATTAAGGTCCGTCTTGTGAAAGAGTATTCATCTCATATAGAAAAAAATTTTGTGCTGATATTCATGTAATATTTGCCACTGAAAGTTTTGCAAAAATCAAGAAAAAAACGAAAACAAAAACAAAACAAAAACTAGTAATTCAGATGTAGGTTCGTGTTCAGATCACTCAATGTGATCACTTGCCTGCCAACAAACAGTGATATAGGTAGATTGTCAGATTCCGATCATGACTGTAAAGGACAACCATTTGTTTAATACAAAGGTAGCTAATTTACTCTTGATACCTTGGTTCTTTAAAAAAAACCGGCCAACATGATATAGCAGAGTGCTGAAAGTGGCACAAACAATCAATCAGTTATTTTCAAATTACCTATCATTAATCAGTTTTGGCAAAAAAAGTATATAGGCTATACCATACTGACACATAAATGTGATAAAAGAATATACAATTCAAGAAAGAGAGGTGCACCAACAGAAAATAGAAACTGCAATCTTTCTTTTAATTTCATCCGATCTCAGATCTCAAAATTTTAACTCTTACCAGAATTTATTCTATCTTACAGTATAACTCGGAAGTTTCTAAGTGAAACTCGAGCTTTAACTAGAAATCTTACTCGAATAAACATTCGAACTAAAAATAAAACTGGAACTTTAACTCTAAATTTAGCTGGAACTTGAACTCTTATTCTACATCAAAGGTTATCCACACTCTCATTTGTCATCTGATAAAAAAATTCGTAAGGGTTCCACAGAACACTGTGTCTCGCCTACTTTTGCTGTTAATCGCAGGCTCAACAAAAATGAGGAAAAAATCAATAAAAATATTCCTCTCGATACTATCTTTTGATTATAAGAAGCTTCTGTCCAAGTTTGGTATAAATCTAGGATAGTTTATGGGTCTAACAAATGTTTTAAAAACTTTAACTGCATACTGTATGTAATGTTAACTGGAAGAAAAACTAAGTCCATTTATAAGTAAAATACGCATAAACAGGTACAAAATTTTGACAAAATTTTCTTCGAGATACAAGCTTTTGATCATAAACAAGCTTCTGTCCAAGTTTGGTACATATCCAGGATAGTTTAAGAAAGTTATTGAAATCTTGAAAACTTTAACCTCAGAGTGAATGTATTGTTTCCTGGCAGAAAAACTAAGTCAATTTATAAGTAAAATACGGAAAAAATAGATTTTTTTTTACAAAATTTACTTCTGGATACTATCTTATGATCATAAATAAGCTTCTGACAAATTTTGGTACAAATCCAGGATAGTTTAAGAAAGTTATTAAAAATTTAAAAACTCTAACCACAGAGTAAATGTATTGTTTCCTGGCAGAAAAACTAAGTCCATTTATAAGTCAAATATGGAAAAACAGGAATTTTGTTTTTACAAAATTTACTTCTAGATACTATCTTATGATCATAAACAAGCTTCTGTTCAAGTTTGGTAGAAATCCAGGATAGTTTATGAAAGTTATTAAAACTTCAAAAACTTTAACCACAGAGTGAATATTTGTGGACGCCGCCGCCGCCGCCGCCGCCGACGACGACGACGCCGACGCCGACAACGGAATGTAGGATCGCTATGTCTCGCTTTTTTCGACTAAAGTCGAAGGCTCGACAAAAAACTAGAGTTAGATAAAATATATCGACATGTCCACAGAAACACGGATAGATGTAGCAGAACAAGAACAAAAACTAGATCCGTTTATTACAAATTAAAATATTTTTTTAAATACATCAACTGGGAACATTATATGTTCCTGATATCAATATGGCGATGTGTATTTCATTGTCAATTAACTCTAAATTATCAGATGCATTGTTTTTCTCATAACATACCAACGTTGAGCGATTAATCGAACGGTAATAAGATATACGTAATACATAAAGTTTTAATACACAGGCGATGAACATTGAACATATTATGTACAATGAACATGAAACGATGTATGAAAAATGGGTGCGGGATGATAGAACTCAGAAAAAAATTTGGTTTCCACAGTTCAAATAAATTATGAAGCGTTGTGTAATTACGGAACCAATTTTAAATTCCTACCGAAAAAATGTTTCTTTTAACGTGCTGAGTTTGTGGCATTTTTAACACGGCATTTCAGGTTTTATCTTCCCGGTGCGAATGGACAAGCTAGTGAAATTATGATAACGAAATTATTCTGCCTGCAGTCTAAAAAGAACGTGTTACTTTTTCAGCCCGGATACCCTCAGTCTTCCGAGGTAGAAGATTCTTTATCTGGAAGCCGAAAATTATTTCTATAATATGGCATGAGGCAAACATTCGTTTTCCCCATACAACAAATGCAATTTAAAAAATGAGATGACTTCAACTTTTGACAATTACTTTATAATAAACTGTTCAGTATTGTATCTATGTTTAACGATTCGATAGATTGATAAAGATATCAATGAATAATCAAAATACCTTAAAAAATGTTCAAAAATAATATTATATTTTGTAGTGAAAAGGTTTAATTCAACCCAAGCGTTACAAGAAATGCTGTTATGCCAGCAACGTCGTTCTATAACGTTAAAAGGTTATAGTTCCCGCCAAAATTCAATAATAAAGATTATTTCCGTTTTAGCGGATTTAAAACATCGGTGACCCCCCTTTTTTATTTATGCTTTTAAAATCTTCCTTGAAGCTGCAACTTATGCAGAAGTTTGAAGGGAAAAACATTAGTAGATTTTTTTTATTTCAAGAAAAATCTATTATAAATAGCAATTAAAAAAGGCGGGAAATGTTCAAATGCCTTCAAAAATAAAGAAACCGAGACAAACAAATGTTCATAAGGTACAAGTTACATTTGACTGTTTTTGTTATTCCAGTTAAACATGGTTTTTCAATAAGTTTGTCTTTTTTTAACAATTTAGAGCGGTATTTCTATATTTCGTTATAACGCGATTCTTTAAGTTTTTGATGACGTCATATCTCGAAAACAACATCGGTGACCCCAATTTTTTTTTCGCTTAAAATATCTTAATAAGTATGATCTGTCTACATGCAAAATTTCAATGAATTATTATTAGTAGTATAAATAGTGTGATTTCCCTATCAAATTGCAGGATTAACCCAGATGTTTCACTCCAGTATAATATATGTATAAATGAACAATATTCAAATCCATCTTCATGCCTAATAAATCATGTACTGTGTTACAACTCTAGATTCTACTGACGAGGAAAGGTAACACTAGGCCACCCAAAGCTAAATTTTTAGTTCAGTCTAGGTGGCCGAGTGGTCTAGAGCGCTGGACACGGGGCAGGCGGTGTTGTCTCGATATCTCAATAGCATGAGTTCGAATCACGGCGAGGGAAGAACAGAAGTTTGCTTCCACAGATTTAACATTGTTGTTCTGATATTTAGAGTAATTATAAACAACATTATATATATAGTCGGAAAATATAAAATTCATTTGCTCGAATAGCGAGGCTCGCATGGCTATTCTCCTGTTTAGTAGCGAGTATAAATACAATATTTATTTTCTGATAATGTACATATATTGTTTTATCCTGTAATTTACACCCGACACATACAGGTTTAGTTGTTTAATTTCAAAAAGCCGTCGCTCATTTTCCAAAACATTAGACGGACTTTAAACGCGGACCGCGAAGAGGACACCGAAATGAACTGTCATCCAGTTTTAATAAACAAATACTTACAAAAAAAAAAAAAAAAAAAATATATATGCCTGCTATGTAGATTTCAAAAAGGCATTTGATTCTGTCTGGAGAAAAGTCTTACTTTATAATCTCTATAATGCAGGAGCAGGGAAAAAATATTTAATATTATTAAAGAGCAGTATGAGGAAACAAAATCTGCTTATAAGCACGAAGAGTGGCATTCATCATATTTTGAGGTCACACAAGGGGTTATACAAGGGGATTCATTTGAGTCCTACTTTATTTAATTTATTTATATATATATATTTATATACAGCTTAGAAAAATATTGTGAAAAGTGGCAATTGACTTTAAATATTAATAAAACTAAAACAATGATTCTGCATCAATCTAATAAAAAAGTGGAACCATCTTTTACAAAATATAAAAATGAAAATTTAACAAATGTCTCTGAATATTCATTTCTTGGAATTCTTGTAAAAACAAAGTTACAATTCAGAAATTACTTACATGGATACATATGTTTCAAAATTTAGAGCAGAAAACGTGCAAATATTTCAAAACGAATATAAACTGATAAATATAATTTAACTGATAAATCATGTTTAGAAAAATTACATTTGTCTTTCTGTAAGTATATCCTAGGAACAAGAAAATCTTCATCAAACATAGCCGTGAGAACAGAGCTAGGAAGATACCCACTAGAGATGCATATAAAAACTCAGAGTATACTTTACCTAACAAGATTACTAAATTCTGAAATTAATCCATTATTATATGAATCCTTTTTACCTTCTAAAAGTTTGGATGAATCAGGTTGCTATACCTGGTTGACATATGCTAAAAATATTTTGAAAGAGGTAAACATGGAAGTATCCATTCTTAAGGGAAACAAAGGAAAAAATTACTCAAAGTTGTTAAATAAAAAAACAAACCTTAAAACACCAATTTTTAAATTTCTGAAAAAATATATTTGAACAAAAATTTGAAAAAATAGATAAAAAAAGTAAAGTATATTTATATAAAAGTTTGAAGCAAAATTTAGAAATGGAAAATTACTTAAACTGTAAGTCTTTTGAAAAGAGGAGTAACATAACAAAAATGAGAAATAGCGACCATAATTTATTGATAGAAAATGGAAGACATTTAAAAATACCTAGAGAAAAAAAACTATGCCCATCCTGTAATACATTGGAGGATGAAGCTCACTTTATTTTTAGACTGTAAAAAAATTCTAAACTAAGAGATAACATTTTAGGAAATGTAGATAAACATATGCCAGATTTTATGTCCTAGCAAGAAAATGAGAAAGTTAAATATCTTCTTTGCCCATCAACCTCAAAAGAAATAGAAGGCTTAGGGTCATTTTTTAAACAAGAACTAAGGACAGGGGACTCTTGTTTTTTTATATACAGTCCGCCAAAAGTTAAGTACCACCTAAATATAACTGGCAATATTTTTTTTAACTATTGCGAACAAATTATTAATGTTTGGTGTAATGAATTGCCTTTAACATACACTAAGAAAATTCATTACGACCTAAAAGATTGAACACCGATAAACCCGTCAAGCAACTTTTTATTAAAGGTCATCTGCACTTTTACAAATACACTGTTTCGATACCTTTAAATCATCTTCCTATGGTCCCGCGTACAGGTGAAATTTGACCTTTATCAAGTAATTGCGTAATATGGCAAGGCGTAAGTTATCTGTGACTGAACGTTGGCAAGCAATTGGCATGTCAAATGCCGGTAGGAGCACTATAGGAGCATAGGTAACCATTTCAATGTTAATCACACCGTCATTGTCAAACTTTTACAACTTCATGTTGACACAGGAACTGTAAATGATAGGCACAAGGATAATAGTTACGCTGAACGGTGCCCACTGGTCACCTGAACAGAAACGGTTAAAATTGAGTCTATACGCGACAAAAAATAGTACATGATTTCCGGTTTAAAGTGAAAGTACGTTACTAAGGGGATACTCAGTGCAGCATACTCAGTTTATAATTGCTGTTATACAATACGGATATGAGCTGAATGCAAAGTTCTGGAATCACCATATTTCAAAGGATACTGTTGAGAGAGGTACAAAAAGTAAAAAATAATACACAAATAATCAATAATCATAATGATTCACTCAAAACAAACAATTGAAAATGCAAAGAAGATTCATCTGTAACTCTATTAACGAGTGATATGGCTTATTTTTCAGAAAAAAAAATAACCTAATGGCCTATATTGCACTCTCATGAAATATAACTAAAAAGATGGTATGCCTCGAACTCGGGTACCTTTAAACTGCCATTGGTTACCTCTGGTCACCCTATACAGAAAATAATAGTGCATACAGTTACACTGGTCATTTGATACAAAATGCATAGTAACTTTATTAACCTTACTTCCTTTGCAGATAAATTTACAGTGGTTCTTCTAATTAATTGACACAGATATAGATATTGAATGGCCCTTAAACAGATATTGAATTTCTATACATCTTGTCACCTTTTACATAATTAATTATTGTGGTGACCTCTGGTCACCGAACACATGTATTGAATTGCAATAAACATTATAAGATATTGAATTTGGTTACCTCTTGTCAACCCGGCAAGCCTTCACAGATATTGAATTTTGTTGCACCTTGTCACCTTTTACATAATTAATTGTGGTGACCTCTGGTCACCCTACACATATATTCTATTTTTTATCTTTAGACACTGTGCATAACTATTGAATTTATTTAACTTTAATAACCCTACTTAGATGTTTAATTTGGTAATATATGGACACCCTACCAAGATGTTGTATATGGTTAACCCTAATCACTCTACAATGATGTTGAATATGGTTACCTCTGGGCACCCTACAAAGATATTGAATATGGTGACCTCTGGTCACCCTACCAAAATTTTGAATATGGTTCTTTCTGGTCACCCTACACATATATTGAATAAGGTTACCTCTAGTCATCTTACAAAGATATTGCATATGGTTACCTCTGGTCACCCTTCACATATACTGAATATGGAAACCTCTGGTCACCCAACACAGATGTTTGAATTAGTTATAAACTTGCCATCCTACACAGATAATGATCACGGTTATATCTGGACATCTTTCAAATACTTTTAATTGAGTTATGTTCGGTTTCAAAACCTATATACTGGCTTTAACTACCTCTTGTTACCCTAAATATGTCTTGATTTTGGTAATCTCTGGTCACCCTACTAAGACAAATACAATCAAAACCAAGGAGTAAACAGATATACCAAAAGAAATTTACAACAACATTAAAAAAGTAAGGAACAACAGGAATCTTCTTAATCATGTCTTGAACGCTCCCATCGTGTGAGTTCTTTCTTAAGTCCGGTAATAATGAAAATGTACTGATGACTGTGCAAGAGTTTTAATATGATTAATCATACATAAATTACTAAAATATTGAATTTGGTGACCTCTGGTCACCCTATACATATATGAACTTTAAATACCTCAAGTTACCCTACACAAATACTGAATTGGGTTACCTCTGGTCACCCTTCACATATTTTGAATGTGGTTACCTCTTATCTTACACAGATAGAAAACTTGATTACCTCTAGTCACCGTGCATAAATATTTAATTTGGTTACCTATAGTTAGCCTACTTAAATATTTAATTTTGTAAACTTCGGTCATAAATTGAACGTGGTAACCTCTGATCAACGTACACAAATATTGAAAAAGGTAACCTCTGGTAAACAATTACAGATATTGAAAATGGTTACCTCTGGTCAACCTACATTAAATTGGCTTATATTACCTATGGTTACAATTCATAAATAATGAATTTGGTAAGCATCGGTTATCCCGGTTCACACTTTTGCGCTACTTTTATAATTAATATAGCAACTTCTGGTCGCTGTACACATACATTGAATTATATTGCCATTGTCAACACACACATATATATATAGCAATTGCCTTTTTTGAATGTGGTAACCTCGGGTCGCCATACACAGATATAAAGTTATTTATCTTTAGACACCATACTTAAATATTGAATGTAGATACCTTTATTAAACCTACTAGTAAGCTGTTTATTTTGGTAATCTCTGGTCACACTGCCAAGATGATGAATGTGGTAACCTCTTGTCACCCTCCAAAGATATTGAATATGGTTACCTCTGGTCACCCAACCAAAACTTTGAATATGGTTACCTCTGGTCACCCTACACATATATTGAATAAGGTTACTTCTGTTCACCCAACCAAAACTTTAAATATGGTTACCTCTGGTCACCCTACACATATATTGAATAAGATTACTTCTGGTCACCCAACCAAAACTTTAAATATGGTTACCTCTGGTCACCCTCCAAAGATATTGAATATGGTTACCTCTGGTCACCCTACAAAGATATTGAATAGGGTGACCTCTGGTCACCCAACCAAAACTTTGAATATGGTTACCTCTGGTCACCCTACACAGATATTGAATAAGGTTACCTCTGGTCACCCAACTAAAACTTTGAATATGGTTACCTCTGGTCACCCTACACAGATATTGAATAAGGTTACCTCTGGTCACCCAACCAAAACTTTGAATATGGTTACCTCTGGTCACCCTACACATATATTGAATAATGTTACTTCTGGTCACTCAACCAAAACTTTAAATATGGTTACCTCTGGTCACCCTACACAAATATTGAATAAGGTTACCTCTGGTCACTTTACAAAGATATTGCATATGGTTATCTTTGGTCACCTAAAAAGATATTATATGTGGTAACCTCTGGTCTCCCTACACATATATTGACTATGGTTACCTCTGGTCACCCTACACATATTTTGAACATGGTAACCTCTGGTCACCTTACCAAAACTTTGAATATGGTTACCTCTGGTCACCTAACAAAGATATTGGATATGGTTTTTTTTGTCATCTAAAAAGATATTGATTGTGGTTACTTCTGGTCACCCTACAAAATATTGAGTATGGTTAGCTCTTGTTACTCTACACAGATATTGACAATGGTAACCTCTGGTCAACCTACAATAAATTGGCTTATGTTACCTATGGTTACAATTCATAAATAATGTATTTAGTTAGCATCTGTTATCCCGGTTCACACTTTGCGCTACTTTTATAATTAATATAGCAACTTCTGGTCGCTGTACACATACATTGAATTATGTTGCCATTGTCAACACACACACATATATATAGCAATTGCCTTTTTTGAATGTGGTAACCTCGGGTCGCCATACACAGATATAAAGTTATTTATCTTTAGACACCATACATAAATATTGAATGTAGATACCTTTATTAAACCTACTAGTAAGCTGTTTATTTTGGTAATCTCTGGTCACACTGCCAAGATGATGAATGTGGTTACCTCTGGTCACCCTCCAAAGATATTGAATATGGTTACCTCTGGTCGCCCTACAAAGATATTGAATAGGGTGACCTCTGGTCACCCAACCAAAACTTTGAATATGGTTACCTCTGGTCACCCTACACAGATATTGAATAAGGTTACCTCTGGTCACCCAACCAAAACTTTGAATATGGTTACCTCTGGTCACGGTGCACCCTACACATATATTGGATAAGGTTACTTCTGGTCACCCAACCAAAACTTTAAATATGGTTACCTCTGGTCACCCTACACAGATATTGAATAAGGTTACCTCTGGTCACTTTACAAAGATATTGCACATGGTTATCTTTGGTCACCTAAAAAGATATTATATGTGGTAACCTCTGGTCTCCTTACACATATATTGACTATGGTTACCTCTGGTCACCCTACACATGTTTTGAACATGGTAACCTCTGGTCACCTTACCAAAACTTTGAATATGGTTACCTCTGGTCACCTAACAAAGATATTGGATATGGTTTTTTTTGTCATCTAAAAAGATATTGATTGTGGTTACTTCTGGTCACCCTACAAAATATTGAGTATGGTTAGCTCTTGTTACTCTACACAGATATTGAAAATGGTAACCTCTGGTCAACCTACAATAAATTGGCTTATGTTACCTATGGTTACAATTCATAAATAATGTATTTGGTTAGCATCTGTTATCCCGGTTCACACTTTTGCGCTACTTTTATAATTAATATAGCAACTTCTGGTCGCTGTACACATACATTGAATTATGTTGCCATTGTCAACACACACATATATATATAGCAATTGCCTTTTTTGAATGTGGTAACCTCTGGTCACCCTACACATATATTGAAAAAGGTTACCTTTGGTCACCCAACCAAAACTTTGAATATGGTTACTTCTGGTCACCCTACACAGATATTGAATAAGGTTAACTCTGGTCATTTTACAAAGATATTGCATATGGTTATCTTTGGTCACCTAAAAAGATATTATATGTGGTAACCTCTGGTCTCCCTACACATATATTGACTATGGTTACCTCTGGTCACCCTACACATATTTTGAACATGGTAACCTCTGGTCACCTTACCAAAACTTTGAATATGGTTACCTCTGGTCACCTAACAAAGATATTGGATATGGTTTTTTTTGTCATCTAAAAAGATATTGATTGTGGTTACTTCTGGTCACCCTACAAATATATTGAGTATGGTTAGCTCTTGTTACTCTACACAGATATTGAAAATGGTAACCTCTGGTCAACCTACAATAAATTGGCTTATGTTACCTATGGTTACAATTCATAAATAATGTATTTGGTTAGCATCGGTTATCCCGGTTCACACTTTTTACGCTACTTTTATTATTAATATAGCAACTTCTGGTCGATGTACACATATATTAAATTATGTTGCCATTGTCAACAAAAATATATAGCAATTGCCTTTTCTTAATGTAGATACCTCGGGTCACCATACACATATATAAAATTATTTATCTTTAGACACCATGCATAAATATTGAATGTAGGTACTTTTATTAAACCTACTAAGATGTTTATTTTGGTAATCTCTGGTCACACTACTAAGATGTTGAATGTGGTTACCTCTGGTCACCCTCCAAAAATATTGAATATGGTTACCTCTGGTCACCCTACAAAGATATTGAATATAGTAACCTCTGGTCAACCAACCAAAATTTTGAATATGGTTACCTCTGGTCACCCTACTAAAATTTTGAATATGGTTACCTCTGGTCACCTTACACATATATTAAGTATGGTTACCTCTGGTCACTCTACGCATAATTTGAACATGGTCACCTCTGGTCACCCGCACAGATATTGCATATGGTTATCTTTGGTCATCTAAAAAGAGTTTGAATGTGGTTACTTCTGGTCACCCTACACATATATTAAGTATGGTTACCTCTGGTCACTCTACGCATAATTTGAACATGGTCACCTCTGGTCACCCACACAGATATTGGCTATGGTTACCTTTGGTCAATCTACAAAAATTTGGCTTATGTTACCTATGGTTATAATTCATAAATAATGAATTTGGTTAGCAATGGTTATCTCGGTGCACACTTTTTGCGCTACTTTTATAATTAATATAGCCACTTCTGGTCGATGTACACATATATTAAATTATGTAGCCGTTGTCAACAAATATATATAGCAATTGTTTTTTTTTAATGTGGTTACCTCGGGTCACCATACACAGATATACATTTATTTATCTTTAGACACCATGCATAAATATTGAATTTAGGTACCTTTATTAACTCTACTTAGATGTTTAATTTGGTAATCTCTGGTCACACTACAAAGATGTTAAATGTGATTACCTCTGGTCACCGTACAAAAATATTGAATATGGTTACTTCTGGTCAACTTACAAAGATATTAAATAGGGTGATCTCTGGTCACCCTACCAAAATTGTGAATATGGTTACCTCTGGTCACCCTACACAGATATTGAATAAGGTTACCTCTGGACACCTTACACAGATATTGACTAAGGTAACCTCTGGTCACCTTACAAAGATATTGCATATGGTTACCTCTGGTCACCCACACAGATATTGGCTATGGTTACCTCTGGTCATCCTACACAGATATTGAAAATGGTTATTTTTGGTCACCCTACAATAAATTGGCTTATGTTAACTATGGTGACAGTTCATAAGATGAATATCGTTGGTTAATTTTAAAGATATTGAATGTGGTTAACTCAGGTCATTCTACACAGATATTAAATATGTTTACCTCTGGCCCCCCTACACAGATTTCGAATTGGGTAACCCTTTCATATTATTGAATGAGATTACCTCCGGTCATCGTAGACATATATTTACTTAAATTACCTCTGGTCACCCTTTACAGATTTGGAATGTGGTTACCTTTGGTCACCATACACAGGTATTAACTTTAGGTTCTGGTCACAATTCATAATTAATGAATCTTTATTGGCATCGATTATCTCGTTTCACACTATCCAGATGTTAAATTTGGTTAACACTTCCCGCAACATTTATATTGAATATGAATATTGCTCATCATAAACAGATAATGATTATGGATATCTCTGGATACCCATCCTATAATTTATTTACTTTTGGTAATCTGACGCAAATAATGTCTTAGGCAACCTCTTATTACCCTGAACTGCAATTCATTTTGGTTAAATCTGTTCATCCTATATATAATTATATGACTTTTAAGGGGTCTCATGGTTTCTCCGGTTATATACAATTAATAAAAAAAAGATTTTGTTGACATTTTAAAAATAAATATGATATATTTCACATTCTCATTACAGGGTTTTTTGTTCGTGAATTAAATAGAGGAAATATGACAGGTGTAACAGGCGATTTTGAAGGTAATGGTTACAGTTTCAAAACATAATTATTTCATTAATCATAGTAGAGGTCATATTAAGACCAATATTCAATTCCTAAAATCAGAATTCGAAACGTAGGGTTGATAGTACAAATCAAATACTTCAAAAACTAGAAAAACTGCACAAATTCCAAAATTATAGTTAAGGAATGTCAAATTATGATACATTATCGCGGTGTATATTTGAAACATCGTTATTTATTCCGCCATTTCCATATCTTACAGGTTTGGAAAACTTTAATTTGGAAGACCTCTATGAATTGCGACATGAAGAAAAGGAAGAAGTTAAAAAACAGATTGAAGCCATATATATTGAGGCAACCTCTTTGGAGAAAAAAGCCAGAGAATTGGGTATGAATTGTGTTTTCTCATTTATGCCCAAACCGCCACAAATGTCGTGATATTTTTCATACAGTATTGTATAGATTACGCTGTTTAGATCATACAATTGAGAAATAATTCATTTAGGCTTGAATTTATACTGATTTTACCACGGATTGACCTTTTATGCTAAATATTTTACAACGACCGATGGCATGGATAATATGCTCTTCATGTTTTAAAACTTTATTCAGCTACGATCAATTATCCTTGGCCAATTTGTAATGGCTCAGCGACTGCGTATATATTTTTTTTAAAAGTGTTTCAAAATTAGTATCTTATTCCAACAAATCGAAAATTGTTACTGTTTTTGTTTTTTTGTGTACATATGCAAATTGAAAAAATATGATTTATTCTAGGAAATTACACGCACAAATATTATATTTCCCTACCATTTTAGCATGTGATACAAATTCAAAACAGTATATTCTTCGCCACGCACAAACCTTAACAGAAAAAGCAAATGAGATGAAAGAAAAGATATGCTTAGCATCAGGTGATTTATTTCTTTATCTGTATTATATTATAGATATACATTTATAACACAGTAGTGTTATTTTTATGCTAATACTGTAGACTTTTGTAGTTGAATATATCTGTTGGCACGCAAATTGGAAACTGAAAAACAGAAAATTCAAAAGGCACTTAATCAAATCCACTTGTCATAACCAAATTGACAAAGCCACGACAATAAACACAAAATCGGGAACAAGACAAACATCATTCCACGGAATTGGTTTGCGGTTTATTCCTTACTTTATCATTTGTTTATTATCTCAAAACTAGTGTACATAACACACTTTGGCAGTTCACTTAATACTGATCAGTGTTTTATTTCAATTTTCTTATGATGCCCTTTATTAGTAAAAAGAAAGGATTCATATCAAATTTTTACCTCCCCACACACACATACCAGCACACCCACATACACACCAACACACCAACACACATACACACACCAACACACATACACACCTACACACACATTTTCTAAAACAAAATGTCAATACCAATTACATGCATCTAGTTGCTGCCATCATTCAAATTTTAGAATGTTTTTGGTTCTGTATCTTCATTTTATTTGTTTAATTCAAAACAAAATAATTTACACAAAACCAGTCAACCACCAGCATATTATCATTGCTTTCAATAATCATGAATAACAAAGTCAAATATTGTTTTTGAATAAATTTATGAATAGCCAAAAATGTCAGACTTTTGTGATACAAATATTTCAGAGCAGAAGGTCTGAAAAAGTTAATTTATAATTCTAAAGAGGTGAATGTCTACAACCTCACAAAGAAATGAAAGAATCATAATTCATATTTTATTGTAAAATTCAGAGTTTACCCAGAATCATATCACTCTTAACAAATCTGTCAAATGATCCCTGAATAAACAAGTAATATTTTCAATGATACGTTTTTATTACAATTGAATACACATAAGTATGTATAAACAATGTCATTTAGCTGTAAATTTGAAGTGAAGAAATTTTAACCTTATATTCTAATATTAAGGGAAATCATTCCAAACACCTGATGAACTACAAATTGCTATAAAGCAATCCATAGCTTCAAACGAGGAACAAACATTAATAGTTGAGAGACTTAAGAGGAACTGTTCATCCCATGGCTTAGAATACAGAGGTCAAACACCAGGGAATGGGAATTGTTTTTATGAAGCAATCACATGCCAGCTAGATAGAATTGGCGCAGACGTTATTGCTCCCGAACAATTAAGAACAAATGTTGTAAACTACATATCAACACATCCTAGTTTTGAGGTAAACTAATTTACTTGTTAAATACATTCACTAATTATCAAACTCCTCCATGGACAGAAACATAAAGAATTAGTTGGACATGTTTTCAGGGGACAAATCAAAACCGTTGGCAACGTTAGTGGCGCATCAGCACAACTTAAATATATGATTTAAATCAGTTAAGAAACTATTAACACACAAATACCATCAAAAATACTTCCGACAGAATATTAATTTGGAATTGACGTAACTGCCCGTAATACCTGTGATTAATGCAATTTAATATTTAAAGATTTACAAACTGATAAAAGAATAAGCATCAGTTAAGACTTTCATATCAACCAGAATGCTTTTTTCTGCAGATGTTTAAATAAATCATTTACAGTTAATATAGTACAATGCTAAATAATAGGTATTGACAAAAAACAATAAAATAAATAAAAAATGTATGTTATGATCATGATGATTTTTGATAAAATGTAGTTATAAAAGTATTTGTTTTGTATTAATCAATTTCAATGTACAGTAGTTAATAAAGACTTATGTAAGTAGCTTTCTTTCAATCAATAGGGCAGTCAAGGCATTGTGTTATTAGAAAACTTCGTTGAAGACAATTTTCCGGACTACTGTGACAGGATGTTACAGAATGGAGAGTACGCAGACCATGTTGTGGTCATTGGAATGTCCAGAATGCTACAGAGAGACATAGTTATTGTCACCAGTTCTCCCAGTACCAATAATGAGGATAGTGTCCTTTGGGTAACTGGTTGTGATGGTTTTTCCGGTAATCCTATTCTTCTTGGGCACATTTTCGAAAACCACTACCAGTCACTCCAGCCAAAAGGTAACTGATAATAGAAATTATATAATTTATGATTATCTCTCATAAAGAGATACCTTTACAGTTATAGTTTAAAGTAACGCATATGTAAATCTATGTTAAAAAAATAATGTCTACGGTTGATAGTTGGGAAATATCTTATAACACGAGATATAGTTGTGGAATCTGTTAATCTAATGATTCCAATAAAATTTGATAATTTGTTTAGATTATTTACAAAAAGTCATGCTCTTCTTGTCTGACTTCATCGGGCATGATCACCTATTCCAATGACGTCATTATATAAAATTCAGAGGAGAGCAAAATATTTGTCGTCATTATTATATTTCGACTAAGGAAGGACTTCGATCAAATGACCCACGTTTGGTAAAATGTTGATCAATATTGTGCTCAGAAAGGGATAAATACCATAGAATCAGTAAAATGTCCATATTTATATATTTGATATTTTATCAAATTGTTTTTGGCAAAACGAAATGAAATAAGTTTACTTTAACTTTGTTCTTCATTAGGCATTTTCACATTTTCGATAGGAGCGACCCTAATGAGTCTTACGTAGACGGAACACATTTTTAAGCCTTATATCTTTGAATTAGGTAGATCATCACTATATATCTGTATATCGCCATCTTGAATTGTAAAATAGCAGCACACAAGCGACAAAGTTCTTTATTTAAAACTGCAAATTTTGAGACATAAATGCTATTCATTTTTAAAACTCTTGTTTGATAAATGTAAATAAGTGCATTATATCATTGAAAAAATAAGTGTTATTGTAAGAACCGGCTATCAGTCTTTGTTTGATTCAATTTGTCAACTGAGCTAATTAACGGAAGATAACTTATTTGGTGAATTTTCTTTAAAGGAATGATAATGAAATTTCCATTTTTCGCAAGAAAACGAGATTTATTTTCACCCTTTTTCTTTTGATTTTCTACTAAATTGTGGCTATGTATAAGAAAATTATGTCTGAGAAAAAAATTCAGTAATGATCTACCTTAAATCGTTTTACGTTTTTTCACTGTAGACTGTTTTTGAAAAAGAAAAATATTAAAGGAAGTATTGTAAATGTGATATTTATATAAGTTTACTTTACATAATTTGATTGCATAATTACTGCATTGATATCAATCAGCATTAGAGGCAAAGTTTTTCTAATTGGCAAATACATTCAGATGCAAAAAAAGCTTTATTTTAACAGATAAACTAGTATTAATTATAAATTATTACGTTTTTTTGTTAATTGTAACGTTTATACAACAAATTTTAGGTGACAGTGGCAAACTTGATCACCACACGAATGATAAGCATGCAACAAATGATGATAACCTTTTTATTCCTGTTGATGTGTGCAACGAAGAACTCAGCAACTATAACATGACACATGATGTTGAAGGTACAATATTGTTCCTTCGGAAATGTTCACTAGCCATACTTATCATCAGTGATTTTAAAATGATTTGAATAACTTATAATTAGCGGGAATGTCTCGCTACATTGAAGACCTGTTGGTGACCTTCTGCTGTTGTATTTTTCTACGGTCGGGTTGTTGTCTTTTTGACACATTCCCCATTTTTATTCTCAATTTTATTATAAAAAGTAAAAGTCATTTTATCATCCACTTTTATACATAACCTACCATTAGTATACATAGACGTCAATATTCTATAAAAAATAATTAGTTGTATTATAAAGTTACAGTTTATAGATACTACCAATGAGCATGACTTTATCGAAGGCTTTTCGAAAGTCAACAATGCATTTAAAACACATTTTATTTCCATTTCTCCGTACTTCCAACGACAAAATTATTATACTTAAATTTGACTTTACATGCGAAATTTAAAGTGGTTTATCTAACGTCATTTTGTCGCAATAGTTGTATCATGTGTCCTCCTTTTTTATTATTAACTGTAACGTCTATGTTATACTGCAAATGCGTTTAATTATTGTATTAATACTGTGTCGCGAAGTATACTTATGTTTATAATTGTATTTTTTGTAACTCGTTAATTGTTTTGTCAGAGTTAAGCCATTTTCCATTATTTGCTTTTATAGTGCGTCTTTTCTTTTAATGTTTTACTGCTGTTTTACGTGTAATGTGCAGGTTTGCGCCTGTTGAAACGTTCAAATATATTATATGCAACTATTTTTTTGTGTTATTAAAATTTGCTGTTACAAAATATTAGAAATTATTATAAATTAAGGAATGTATCTCCCTCATGCAAAGCTCTGATTTCTTTCACGGATTTGGCTATACTTTTTGGACCTTTTGGATTATAGCTCTTCATCTTTTATATAAGCTTTGGATTTCAAATAATTTGGCAACGAGCATCACTGAAGAGACATGTATTGTCGAAATGCGCATCTGGTGCAAGAAAATTGGTACCGTTAATTTTATTGTGCAGAGGTCGTTTGTTGGTATTTTTCATCGATGTCATCATTTGTTTTTAAATTTATAACAAGTAAACTAGTGTTACTACATAGCAATACATATGCTTTTCTTACCCTAGATATGCCATTCGTAGAGTTTGTGAGATCCACCTTCATCAAAAAACGGAAAAATGGTACTGATTGCATTGTTAGACGTTTAAGGTATGGGAAATTTTATTTTAATCGAAAATATATAGTTTTGAAATCAACTAATTTCTATATGCTACCTTCTTCCTATGACCTAATGGTTTCAATAGAATTAAAAGAAAATAAATATCTATCACAGCAAAACATATACCTTCAGATTATTGAAAAATAACTCTGTTTGTTATTCAGAATAATTTTACTGAACTTCAAATAGTCTTACAAAATATAAAAATCACTGTATTAACAAAGGGATCATTTTTAAGAACTCTATTTTTTGGGGGACAATTTAAGTCTATTATACTATGGTGTAACTCTTTCCAATGTTTCTGAATATATGGATGAATTTTTGGTCACACTATTACACTGAAACATATTGTTGTGTTTTATCAGCTAGCATTTGTGACTTTGGCTTCAGTTTTTGCTTATCATTCAACAGAAATGAAGTGGACAACGAAGACGTCATAACCAAGCATTTAATGGATATAACAATCACAGGGAATTTTATTCACAGGAAAGCAAATAAAACCACATTGCAATACAGGTGTGAAAGGTAACTTTAATCATCTAAGTCGATAATCTATAAAGGAATTTTATCTTGAAATAAATCCACTCTTGTTTTTCTCCAAATAAACAATAAATAGAAAAAGAGAACAACTTTAGTAACAATCGTAAACATTCTTAAAGAATCTATTTACATATCTTGCATATCAAATTTGCAAGACAATGCTGAGTTAAAAGATACATTTGTGACAGAAAATAATATTGGTATAGTTTTGAAAGAGATGAGTTGTATAATCTTGACTTCTGGTTGTATGTTATTCTCTTGCTTTTTTTCAATAATATACGTTTTGTGTTATAGTTTATACAGTAATTATAGTATGGCCTTTAATAACAGATAGTTCCGAAAGCTTTTAAACGTATTGAACTATGAATTTTCTGAAATATTGCACAACATTTTTCTCTTTGGTTATCTATAAAGTTAAGATGCATATTTGTTTAAATTTTATCATGTTTTTTTTAGATGTAATAAACCAAGAGGAAAAAAAACAGGTCCTTTGAATACCAGGGCAAATAATTGTCAGGCATATGTGTCATTCCAGTATGTTATGTTAATGTAATATTCATTTATCTCTTTTACTTTTCTTTTATGATGCAAAACTATAAATTAATTTATAACTTTTAAGCGTTTGAACATCATTATTTATTGATCCTAACATCCTTGTTGTAGTTAAACAACCTTTTGTCCGTGTCTTGAGAGTGGGAATTAAATGCATTTATCATATTACTAAACCAAACACATTTAAACAGGTATTCACCGGGCATACACCATTCATGAGTTTCTGGCTAGTTTACCTGACATTTCATGTGATGAGCGGGTCAATACACCCTGTCATGGTTGAAATTATTATATAGAGAATCCCTGTATCAAATTATATAGAATTTGGTATATATCATTTTGATGATAAGTTATCAATTTACAAGGAGAACACAACAACCATAGCAGTTATTCGAAGTAGCCTTACACATATTTTTAGAAAAAATAATCCTTTTCTTCAAGTCCGATAGATCTTAAATATTGCTTACAAGCTGTTGTAATAAATATAATAATGATACGTTTGGCAAAACAGTACTAACCAGTGACGTTGTACATGTAAAAAAAATCATTAAAGGGCATGTTAATATCTTCTTACACAGATTTTTGACCCATTTGAGTAAAAAAGCAGTAATAATTCGGCAACAACTAAAACACAATGGACACAGTTTACAGATAAAAGAGGAAAAACACCAATCTCGCCCAGATCACAGCTTACTGCTTTATATAGATGCTTTACTTGATCAGGTATTCATGTCGTCGGTATTATATATAATTTATTGCTCATAACGAATTGACTTATTTTTCAATTATAAGTTGCTGGCACTCTTATAAACAAAATGATAATAAAAATTGTGTATGCTGACATTATTGGAGTTTAATATTTTCTCAACCATTCTGTTCTTTTCGATGTCTGTGTTTGTCTTCCGGCACATTTTTTCATAATTTGCAAAGATTATAATGAATGAATAGGTTGAAATAAATCAAAAATAAAATGATTAGGATAAAATTGGCTTGCCAGAGAGTCATTTAATGCATTTACATAAATATCGGACGCTTGTATGAAATATTTTAATGAAAAAACCAGTTTAAAGCTGAATAGCATTGATGATAAAATATTCTAGAAGACATATATTTTTACAATGACATATATTGATACAACGACATATTTTGTGTTGATTTGAAAAAATCCTTAAGCTCAAAAAGATTTTAACTAAATTTGAAATTAATTGTAATTGACACGAATTTAATTTTATTTCATTATCAATAGGGGAAAAAACCCATGGAAATATTGTGCAAAGCATGGAAATGGGCTAGAGATCAAGGGCATTTTGATGTGCACGATAGAAGATACTATCTGACACCAGTTGACATTAAGAATATATGTCAACGTTACAAAATGGATAAAAGGTATCAAAACATAATCAAAAGATTTACTTAAAATATGTACTTACTACTTTGTTCTTCTAAAAAATCCAAAGAAACAGGCTCATTGTTGAAGGCCGTATGGTGACCTATAGTTGTTAATGTTTGTGTCATTTTTGGTCTTTTGTGGATAGTTGTCTCATTGGTAATCATACCATATCTTCTTTTTTATATTTGTCTCTACGTATCCAGTCATCGAACCACATCTTCTTTTTTATATTTGTCTCTACGTATCCAGTCATCGAAAAATAACACATTATCCGGACTTCAGTTACCTCTGATAACTTGAACCAAATCTTAATATTGACAAAGACTTTGCTACCTCTGATAACACTTAACATATACAGACTTTGGTAACCTCTGGTTAATGAACACATATATGGACCTGGGTCGCCACTTGTACCCTTAAATGTTTGTAGAATTTGATAATCACTTTTCACCATTTTGTTAACTTTGGTCACCTGAAACATATATATAATGATACACAGGTATTGACTAGGGCTACCTTAATCATACTTGTGTTTCCTATGTCTATTTTAGATATGTATATAATCTATATCCCTTTTGAAACCGTACACATATATTGACTTTGGTTACCACTGTTCACCGCAACTTTGGTCACATCTGGACAATTTAAAAAAAAATGATAGCTTTACACAAAGTATATCCTTGGTTCCGTCTTGTTACATCTACATACTTTAGTAAAGTGAAATTTAAAGAGCATTTGGTATTTAGTACCTTACACTGGAAATGACGTTGGTTACCTCCATCACATTTATAGATACAGCCTTTGATTTGTGGTTCTTTAAACTGATGCACTGTTTGCAAACCCAATGGTTCGTCTGTTAAAATCATTACTTTATTCACCATTTTAATCTTTTTACCAATCTGATTGTAAACATGCACTTTACACAGTAAATTAACTTTGGTGTTTTCTGGTCAAATTATACAGATGTACTGTTGACATTGATTTTGTATATGTCAGTACTGGTATTGATCTATGATATTTCCTCATTTGTTTTAGAATTCACCAGAATGATGCTGTAGCTGTACACGAGCTATGCACACAAATACTGAAGGAAGAGATAATTTTCTACCAAGAATTGAAAGAGTAATTATTCTTATATAATAATGTACTTTTGTAAATTTTAATAACTGATATAAGCATAATGCTGATAAAGAGTAATTCTGAAATTACTGATTGATACCCTGTTTTGTTCTTCAGACATGACTGGATTGCCTTATGTTCAAATAGTTTTTATAGTACTCGTCTGTCCAATTTCGTATATGATTTTGTCTGTAAAATGTTTCAATGAGAGCTGTACAGATGAGTTTTCTGTAGACTGAACGTATATCTGACTTCTCATAATAGATGATTTGTATTTTTGGTTTTTATCCTTTTGAGTGTTTTTAGTGCTACACTTGTTCACAAGTCATATATTTTGTCAATATATTTTACATTTTTGTCTTTTTCAGTTTTAATAGAGGTTATTTAATATGAGTACAATGTAGCTAGTTTGTCGTCTTCTTTTCCATTAAATGGACATGATTTCAACATAAAATATATAATTCATACTCATACTTTTGGTCATTAAATATGTAACATTTACATTGTAGGGGAGTACAGCCATTAGTAATTATTTACCAGAATGAAGCACAAAGAAAAAGAATGGTGAAACTAGCAGAAAATGTGGTGTTTTTAGATGCTACATATAAAGGTATATACTTGTATATAATCATGGAAATTTCAATTTAAAATATTGATACGTTTAAAAGAATTGAACTGTGTGACAATAAACTTACAACATGTTTTTTGTTTGTTTTAAGGATTAACTGCCTATGGTTATTCATTCTATGCTCTTGTTGCAAGAGATGAACAGCAAGGCCGAGGCACTCCTCTTTCGTACTGTATCTCGTCAGATGATACTGGTGAAGTTGTCAAAATATTTCTGAGATCTCTGAAGACTACAGCTGAAAATCATGGATTTGATTTCCGTCCAAGGTTTGTGGGTATCAAGGTTGACAATATTTCGAATTCAATATCATTGCTTATTAACACTTTTCATTTTCGTCTTATTATTTGTTTACAATTAGTAACATTATTCGGAGTCAACATCAAATCTGATATGGATATAAAAGATAAATAAATACCATTCAATTATATGTTTTAATTAATTTGGCTGTAAAAATTACAGGTTAAACTATGACATTATTCACATATTCGTGCAGTGATAGTTATTTGAAATGACAAATAGACAATGCTATGAAAGATTCATCTAAAGAAACATTTTTTCATGCATATCAAAATTAATACAATTAAGGTCCACAATAATTTCAGTTGAATTTTGGCAAAGAATATTAGATAAATAATTTTTGCATAATAATATTTTTCTAATGGACTAATGAAACTTACAAAAACATCAATTTCCTTAAAATCTTTTGAGTGTGATCTATAGCAAGGCTTTAAAACCAAAGCATTTAAGATTAAAGCATAGTCAGGTTTATACATAACATAATAATTAAAGCTTTTTTAGGCTTGTTTCCAAATTTTTTAATCACAAATTAAAAATCTAATTGATATAAAAAAAAAAAAATTTACATAATTATTTACAAATTAACAAATAGTATTATAGAATAAAACCAATATGAGATAAAGATATAGATTGTTGATACTGCAGTGTTACATTTTGTTTACTAGATCTTTTATGGTAGACAGAGATACCAAAGAAATCAGCGCAATTAATGAAGTATTCCCAAACAGCTCTGTTTTACTTTGCTGGTTTCATGTTTTACAGGTAATATATTATTCAATATATGTATCATACATTTTACCTTATTCTTTATGGGAAAAAAATCAGTTATTAAATGAGAGTTATTCTGTGAAGTTTCACTCTTTTGGATCAATAAGTATTAATTGCATTGGATTTAACATTTTATATCTTTTTTTTGTGTTTATAAGCTTGAGGTCAGTTTTGAATTAATAAATAGACTCTTTCGCATTAATACTTTCATAGATCAAATATTATCTTGTTGAAAAATAATTAGTCATGATATATTCAAGACAATGTTTAATTATTATTATCAAGAATCTTTAAGACATGAACTAAATATAAATGATTTGATTTACAGGCTGTGTACAGATTTTTGAATAAAAAAGAATCTGGTGTATCAGGACCCATGCACGCACATACCAGAAAAAAAGTTATTGACTATATTAGAACTATGAAAATATGTACCAAGGTAATCAAACGTGATAGTTAAGACAAATAAAATATAATGAACCTATGATACCACAGTGAAATATAATAATTTTTAAATTGGTCAATAATTTTGAGTTGGTCCTGACAAATTCAAATAATGTATTCGAATATTTAATATGTACTAGGTGAATGTTAATTTACATAGTATAACTTGACCTGCTTCTGATAATAACAGTTTTATATGCAGAGGATGTGAAACATTGTTAAAAAATTAATCACGAGTGTGTTGCCTCACAATGAAACACGATTGGTTATTGATATGTTTATATTATAAGAAAAATCCCTGTAGAAATGAAACCTCAGTGGGATCTTTTTCTCCTTTTCCAACATTGTAATTGTTTTAATATCAAAATCATATCAACAAGATTTTTCAAATAGAGTCAATTAAAACGCAATAATAATAATAATAAAAAATACAATCAATGAATTTTGGTTGATAAAAGATGAAAAAAAAACCACTGAAACATATAGAAATGAATCTCTATTGAATTAAAGCAGTAAAATAATTTAGAAAGTACAAATAGTTGCTTAATGCGATTTAAAGATCTTACCTATAAATATACAATGCTTATGAGTACACGCGTGTTTAATCTATAAAATCTGATTTTATACTCAAAAGAAATGTGTCAATATAATTTTTCATCAGAAAGAAGACTTTTCTCAAAAAGTTAAAATGTTGCAAGAGAAAATGCCTTCCAAACAAATAGCAGACTACTTGTTAGACAACTGGTGTACTGACAAGTGGGGATGTCGATGGGCCAACTATGGAAGACATTTTTTTCATGAAGATCAAGATACAAATAACTTAGTTGAAAGGTTATTAATACATTGTATTACTATACACCTTATATTTTACAAGATCGAAATTTTAAGCATCATCTAATTATCATCTGTTTGATAATAGTAACTAAGTATATTTTATTTTGGGGATAAATTTTCTGAACTGTCTCTGTTTTTATGACCTGATTTATAAAAAGTATTACACTTTGTCTAAATCCTACTTCTTCATGGGTAACCAAAGACATAGCATGATATAAACTTTACAATTTTTAACTATATGGAGAGGATTTTTGCCGTTCTTTCATGATAGGGTTATGCAAATTTAATACAAATATCATAATTGTCAATGCAAGTCGATAATTACATAAAAGCAGACAAAATGAAAAAATGTAGTCTAGCAAAACCTGATGTGTATGAGGATATTAAAACAAAAAAATATAATGCTACTTATGACATTCAAATGTTAACACATTAATATTTTATGTACTTTCTATTTGTACATTCAAATATAAATCATAAATTCAAAGTCCTTAACATTTTGTCATTTTCAGGTTTTTCCTGGGCATGAAATACCATTTCCTTGGTGGGTATGCCAATAGCAGAGTAGAGGACTTACTACTCCTTCTCCATGGAAATGTAACTATGTTTTATGAGTAAGTAAGTTTAAATTTGTCACAATCCTGTTCTTCTTATCGTTCACTTGAATCGTCTGAAATTAGAAAGATCATTTTAATTTAAGATGCAAATACATTGAATATTAAATACTGTGAATTCAATTTTTTAAGAAATAATTTATTATTAGATCTTTGAATTATGTTTTCATAACCAAAAATAAATTAAAAAAAACATCGTAATTTTAGCTATCTGGATGAACTCGCAAAGATTGGTCGCCTGAAAAATATGGGAGGACAAAGAGGAGACAAAAGTAAATTGACAGCAGAGAATATGCTCAAGGCAGGACTCGACCAAACTGTGCAATGGACTTCATCCACAGAATGCACTGTTCCATCACAGACAGCATTTTGGACGATTTATAATGTGGACATTGTCAATGAAGTGTGCAATTGTCCAGCAGCAACAACAAGAGGTATTTTTTTAGCATCTTAAGTCAGTCCAACAATGTTTAAAAGTACACCATCAAGTATGAATTGTTGAAATCAAGATTATTAATTTCGGGTACCGTATATGGTTCCCGGAAATGCTTATCCTTCTAAAGCACCTAATTTCACTTCAGGTATTCAGTGGAATTCGTGTTGTTTATTATCGTTTTTTACTGTTGTTGTAAATGTCTTATGGTTTTATGAGTCTCCTCGGTTTTGATTGTTTTTGTCTTCCAACAAGGCATTATCAACCGTCATCAGGTTATACAAGTGCAAATAATCATTTTCCTCATCAAATTTTCTAAAACAATGCGATCCAATTTAAGTAAATCTTTACTCAACGTTCATTAGTGGTTTTGTTTAAAGTTTGTACAATTGAAAGTGAACCATAAAGGTACAAGTTATTTATGTTCCATTCTCTACTATTTTTCAGGAATGTGTAAGCATGTTCATTTAGCTGAATTGATTGCTTCTAAAAGGAACATCGACCTTACTGTAGAGCGCAGATCAGAAGCAATGGATGTATTAAATGCAGAACAATATTTTTATGACAGAGATAACAACCAGGTAGAGGTTTTGTCAAGATTGGGAAATGTATCAGTTGTTAATTTGACCTCTTTCAAATGTACATGTTTTGCCAATAGCCATGGTAAACATTGTGTTTGTGTGATGGTAGCAAAACTGGTAGTTCCATCACCTGACATAGAGTCTACCTCAATTGATGAAACAAAACAACAATTAATTGAAGACAAAGAAACAACCGACCAGGCTATTAAAAGAAAAATTGAGGAAATCAATTTATATGTAAACAATAAAAATTTCCAGACAATTGACGTGAAAAAAAAGAAAGCTATTTGTCAAGCACTCACAACGGCATTACATATTTGTAAGACAACCAACTTTTCCAAAACAACAAGAAAGCGAAAGCAGCAACCGCTGTTTCCAAGCAGAAAATCCAAAAGTCCAAAAACTGATCATGACTATTCAGTAAGCCGAAAGTGTGTTCTGAAAAAACGGGGGCGTAAAGTTAATGATGATGGCAGTTTCAAATCTACGCACAGAAAGAAAGGATCCATTCGTAAACCATTTCAATGAAAAAAATAATGAAATATTATACTGATTTTGAAAAACTGCCTTTTCTAGATATTCGTTCAAAAATTGTATATGTTACATAGGTGCTTAAATGCTTTAAAAGTAGGACATATACAGTTTGCTCTTCAAATGTTTTGCAAAGATACTGATGTGAACAAATGGATATAATTTAATATAACAAATACCTATTCCTAATGATGATTTTGTCAAGCAGATAACTTGGCTAATTATTACATTGGACTAGGTCTGTTTGTTGTCTCAAGTAGGTTATATTTTTTAGGCAAATGATCAAATATGTTTTAAGTTAAGATAATACGTGTCATGTGTCTAATAAATCATTACCTGGCAGCGTTGTCTGTATTGTCTTCCAAAAGGCCTCAAAAACTTTCCCATGCATTGCCTTGTTTACATTAGTTTTATTTAGTTCGGCTATAACATGGCCAACAATTTCTCTGCAAATATAAGTTAAGACAGCAATTTTATTATTATAGGACATTTCTTTACCTACACAATTTTATATAATGACACCATCTTAATTATTCTAGTTTTAATAAGAATCACTTAATCTAAGCAAATAAAAGACTTAATTTACAAGAATGCATTTTATTTTATTGACTTAAATATTTTTTTTTAAATGTTTTAATATGTTAATACTATAATGCTTAATTTATGTCATTACTAACAAAAATTGTATTCAATAATTTCAAATGTTTCCTAGCTACAACAAAATAGAGCATGTTAAACCGTTGGAAAATAAATGAGAATAGCAATGTTATACATATCAATAATAAAACAAAGGACCAAGTCGAATTGTAAGGCCAAATTAAATAGTAATTTGTACATCAATAATTATAAGTCAATTGTTCTACCTAGCTTTCTGATAAACATGCAGTGTGGATTGTTTCAAGTTTATGACCAGTAAGAAGTAGATTGTATATGATTTTATAGTTAGTATTCTAACGATGCTATTAATTTTAAAATGATTGATTCCATGTCATTTTGCTTTGAAAAGTTTATTATTTAGTACACAGAGAAATGTGAAACCTTGAGTTGTTTTTTGCGTTTTGGTCGGGTTGTTGTTTCTTTGACATAATCCCTGTGTCCATAAAGTTATATTAAAACGAAATCTGTTTTTAAACAGCTGGTAGTATGTTTGTGTTTGACTGTATATTAAAATGATAACTACACATTTCCATTCGCTTTTAACACAATTGTTCATTTTCTATATATAGACCTCGAGTGTAAAAAGATAGATTGCATTATAGACTTGATTATGAATTTATGATCTGAATTTTGTCACAAATTTAGTCTAGAATAATTATTGAAACAGATAAGCAATCAATTGAATAGATGAGAACTCAGTTTATAATTGATTGTTGAGAAGATAAATACATAATGATCATGGTATTTGGAAAATGTATGTTTTATATATTTCATGTTAATCTAGATGTTTGCATTTTCTATTGTGTATTTTATTCCATACTCTTAGTATGTAATAAAGATGTCAAGAAGACGATTGCCTTTGTAGCCATTATAAATCCAATGTTCATAAAATCTGAACAATTGAATTCTTCTCAAACACTTACTTAGTTTTTTCAATGTCACCCTTTTTTTGGGCAGATGTCCCTTTCATTTTTTTGCATACAGCCTTTTTGGTTGCTTCTTTGTCAACAAGAGCCTCGGTCAAAGTGTTTAAAGATTGAACTTGATAGTCAACATCACCTGAAAATGAAGTGAAATACAGTTGTGATCTTTTCTTGCAGTTAAGCTGATAAATATATGTAATAAGACATATTAAGCACCGTTATGAAAGTTCTTACAACTTAAAAAAATGTCTTACAGATTGGCAAAGCGACATGTATATGATTCACAGTAGACATATGATTTCAAAAGATACAGTTATATACCAAGGGATCATAAACTCAAGCATGAACAATATTATGGGCACCACATAATAAGCTGGATCTGCTAACCAATATAGATAACCTGAGACCACCCTAGTTTTTTATGGGGTTTATGTTGCTCAGTTTTATTTTTTCTATATTGAATTATAATGATTGCATTTTTGACTTTCCATCATTTTTTTAAATTTTTTTGCTCAGCTTTGTCAGTTTGTTCTCCAAATTTCAGTTTGATTGTTCCTTTCGACCCATTCACCATTCCTTACCTTCTAATCAATCAATGCTTAAAAAAACACGAGATCATCAATTTATGTGTTTTAACCAGCATAAACTGTTTTCTTTGAGAATCAAGTGTATTCACTAAAGTCTTACCGTTTGTTAACATGGACCAGGCTGATGTGATCGGTGGCACTATGTTTGTTGGTTTTGGAATCAAATTGACTAGTCTTGAAAGTTCCTTTCGATTTTGTTGAGTAGTATTTGATTTCCCTATTGTCAAGTAATCACCTATCTGGTGAACTGACATTCTGTCTGGTCCCTGGACTCTGGCCGTGATTTCATCTCTCTTCACCATATAAATCATTCTTTTCTCCGTTTTGTTTGTTTTCATTGACTGTAGTCTACTTCTCACAGGTCTAATGTCTTTTTAAAATAAATTGGAAAATAATCATGAACCCTTATGATAAGATTAATGAGAAACTTAAAATTGTATTTTTGTTAGCCTATTAAAAGAAATCAATGACTTGAATTATTTAAGGCACAATGTAAAAATAAATGATACAGGGAGCTTCTAAATGTATAAAATTACCAAGTAAATATCAAACTAGTATATGTATAGGTTGTTACTAAACAGATAAAAGCCATTCCTGAAAATGTGAAGGTACAGTCATCACACAGGACATTTAGCTTTGTTATTCATAAAAAGTAATTGGAAAGACAATAATAAAACAAGTAATGATTCATATCCAAATCCATGAAGTGCTAAATATAATGATTGTTGAGGTGAAATATAGATTGTTGGTGATCATGGTATGCAAATGATCAAAAAAATATAATGTACATACTTGCAATCCTAAACTCCTCAAAAGAAGTAATCTCATTCCAATCCGTCGTCTCACTTGTACCTGTTGAGATAAGAGTATTATTCAGGATAATTGATAAGAAACCAATCAAAACACAATTACTTTAATCATAAAATGTAATCCTAGTTATCTTCGGTAATTAATTCCGGGTAATTGCATTGATTTTGTGTACAAAATAACTACATAATATCAATGTCTTGATCATTATGATACCATTTTTAGAAACAAAGTGACATTTTTCTACCCCAATATCTCCTAAATAAAATTAGGTTGGGGGTTGAGCCAGTCAACTCCAAAGCCTGCCCTGTGAAGAAGTATATTAAAAACTTCAATTGTTTTCTTTATATAAAGTATAACAAAAACTATTATATGCTTCATATTTAAAAATGTATCATTCTAAAATAGGAAAATAATTCATTTTGGTCAATTTCCCTACTTTTTTGTCACCTTTTTCAATGTTCATAAATTTAACTATGGCGCCACATCTTGCCCATTCAATTTTGATGAAATTGGCAATATCTTGTTAAGTTGACCACATGTAACCAATTCAATATTTTTGTAAAGTAATCTCAACAGGAAAATGAAATTACTTTTCAATCAAACCTAAGTAGCATTTTTACAAATATCAATAACAAGTTTTAAGTTCAAAAAGAATGATAGTTTCAGTATCATAAAACTTAATGAACTTATCCATCATGATTAAATGCATACATACCACTCTCATCTACATTTTCTGTTGACTTCTAAAAATAGAAGATAAAAATTATAATGATTGTATTAGGAAATCAATTGATTTATCAAAAATTATCTAATAATGATAAGTATAAATTGTCTACATAATCAATTGTAAAAATCCTCTTGACAAAGTAAGAAATTTTAATTGTTTTCTAAGATTTGTTTTTTAGACGACTCTGAAAGACAATGTACATTTTTTAATGGTTATTAATATATTGAAATTAATATAACAATATAACATATTCTCCCTGAACCAAGAATGTATATCTAACCTGATCTTCATCTTTTTTCTGGATCTTCGGTTGTCTAACATTATCTACTAATGAAAAGAAATAAAACCATGAACCATTCAAATGTAAATGTTGATATTTTTTTGCAATTTATATTAACATTAATTGTTTCATTTTCTGTTATTAAAGACTAAATAAAACAAATTTTATTTGCGTAAGTGTGTCCAGAGGTTACCATATTTCATATCAACATAAGGTGATCAGAGGTGACAAAATCTGAAATCTACAGAAGGTGACCAGAGGTAACCAAATCCCATGTATGAATAAGATGACCAGATGTAACCAAATCAATTATCTGCATAAGGTGACCAGAGGAAGCCAAATCCGAAATATGCAGAAGATGACCAGATAATTACAATATCTGCATAAACTTAGGTAACCAAAACTTATATTTAAATCAGGTGACCAACAGTAACAAAACCCTATTATATCTTTTAAAAGTGACCAGGAATTACCAGATACCATATCTTGGGAAGATGACCACATGTATCCAAAATTAAGAATTTTGTAAGGAAATTCTAAAAGAATATTGAATTTACTTTTCAATCAAACCTAAGTAGCCGTTTTAACAAAAAATGATAACCAGTTTTGTGTTAGAATAGAATGATAATTTCAGTATTATAAAAACTTCATGTACTTATGCATCATATATAATGATTACATGTATATATCACAAATTAAATGCGTACATACCTCTTTCATCTACATTTTCTAGTGACTTCTGAAAAAAAAAGATAACAAATACAATAATCGTATAAGGAAATCAATTGATTTATCAAAAATATCTACAGAGGATAAGTATCAATTATCAACTGAACATGCTCTTGGCAACGTTTGCAAATTAAATCATTCTCTAACGTTTGTTTTATAGATGATCATGGTAGACAAAGTTCATTCTGTTAATTGTAATAAAATATTAAAAGTAATATATAATACTTTTCTATATTCTTGTTGAACCCATGATGTATATCAAACCTGTTTTTCTTCTTTTTTCCCTCTCTTTGATTTTCTAGCATGTTCTAAAATGATAAAAAAAACACAACATGACCAGTTGTAGGTAAATATTGATGACAAGAAATAACCAAATTCGAATAATACATAGGGTGGCCAGAGATTTCCAATATATGCATGAAATGAACGGAGGTAAACAAATCCAATATCGTCGTAAGGTGACCAGAGGTAAGTAAACACATTCAATATCGTCGTAAGGTGACCAGAGGTAACCAAATTCTATATGTTGTTCAGATGACCAGAGGTTACCATATATCATATCTTGTAAAGTTGACAACATGTAGCCAATTTAAATTTTTATAAGGTTATCCCAAAAGAAAAATGTTTTT